AGAGAGCGGATCATGTTGGAGTTGGAGCTTATTGAGTGGAAAAACAGTTCACTTTAGTGAATTACTAAAACTGAAAGGCAGAAACGAGAGAAGACGTCGGAGGAGATGGCCTCCCAGATAGCAACTGACATTGAATCAACGTGGAAATATGACATCGAAACAACGTTGATCTGACATTGTTTTGCTCATCGAATTACGTTGAAACCAACGTCAGACGCGTCATTCTTTCAAAAACTAACGGAAAATCAACTTGAAATCAACGCGTTGTTTCCAACGTTATGAAAGCAAACCAATTTTCGATTTTCATTTAGCTTTGAAGAATGCCGCGTCTGACGTTGGTTCAACGTTAATTCGATGAGCAAAATCAACGTTGTTTCAATGTCATGAGAGACGTCGTTTCCACATTGATTCAATGTCAGTTTGCTGTCTGGGACGTGTGAAAAGGCACGTGCGGAAATGTGTAGGAGGAAATGCGATGCTACCAAGCCGACCAATCACCGATCTTGCGGTCCGCGTCGTCGCGACGTGTACTTACATTTTTGAGGAGGGGCGTGTCAGGCTACGGCGAAGGGTACGCGGTATGGGACGCGTTCTGCGTATGCTACGCCGTACCTACTGCGCGCACCCTACGCAGAAGTATAAATTGGCCTTCAAAAATGTAACTACACGTCGCAACGACGTGGACTGCAGGATCTGTGATTGGTCGGCTTGGTAACATCACATTTCCACATGTACCATCTCGCGCATTTCTGCACGTACCATCTCTCCTCCTCGCGTATTCCTTCTCGTTTCTTTCTCTTTTCGCTAAAATTAACTGTTTTTCCACCTCAATAAGCTCCAACTGCAACATGATCCACTCTCTTTCAGTCGCCATTGCTTGTAGTAACCTAGCCGCGAGGAATCTAAACACAGTGGAACATTAAAACCCTCCGCCGCCAACTAGCGTTTCGGAGCAGTACTGCAGAGCAACCAAGACCTGAACGCAGAATTATAAATGCTTACGACGGCATAGGCTACGCATGCCGTACCCTCGACGCGGAAGTATAAATCGGCCTTGGCTGATGGAATGCAAATTCACTCCTGTTAAGCAGAGCGGCGCAGCTCAAACAAACCTTTCAGCTGTGCTGGCATTCTGAAATCACAGAAAAACAAAGCAATAAAAACTTCAAAAATTAAACAAGCCATTTTTGTTAGATTTGGTTGAATCGGATCGTCAAAGCTCAGCAGCAAACACTTTGGTCAATAAAGTGAGATTAAATACATATAGTATATTTGTGAAAACTTTTAGTTAAAGCAGGTTTGCACAATATTCTGAGTTTGCATTTCACCGTTTTTATTCTTTGGAGAAACAGATTGTACAATGTTTCACCCAATGGGACAGAAGAGGTGTCAATCAATACATGGGAAAACAAGTAACTTGCGTTACTTTAAAAAAGTGAAAGTAACCTTGTTGTAAATTAAAACGTTTTACTAGCTACTTGGAAAAAAGTAATCTGATTACATACCTTGTTACTTGTAATGTGTTACCCCCAACACTGGTGACAACTAGCCCCAGACTCCTGTATTTGCATAAGAAGTAAAACCAGCAGATGAAGTTATTAATGGACAGCGTATGTGCGTCAAATCTGAAGGATACTCGGTTCCAACCATCCGGTTGATTTAGTGTTGGTTTGGAAACGTCCACGTCACTTGAAATGTCTGATGTGGAGCCTTACGTCCATGTTTCATAATGTTGCTATGATGCTCACTGATATGTTTGCTTTGGAGCCGTGTCATTATTTTCCAGTATTTTTCTGAGGTTGTACGCGAGATGTGTGCGCACACTAGCTGATTGATGTGTGTTTAATATCAATATAAACAGACACATGTCCAGGATAACACTGATCCAACTGCTTCTGAATAAAATCACATCATGTTGTCTTTTCCTGCTCATTTTACTGTTATGTACACGATGATGATGCATTCATTGCATTATCTTTATGAATCTCCTAACCACGAAGAAAATTATAAAATGTCATTCTCTGAATTAAGGTGACATCAACATGTATAAAAAAACAGTCCAATATTTCGCAGAGACGGCTGTCGTTTTGCCTTTTTAGGGTGTATTAAATATCAATATGGTAATTATTTTTAAACAACCAAAATTTTGCAACAATATATGGAAGTCTGCATTTAAAGGAATATTATGAGCAATTCTAACGCACTTTGGAGAGAACGATAAAGAAAAATAGACTGAATTTAATTGAACAGCCTGGTTTCTCATTCAAAAATAAGCTAATTTTATATAATCTGTAGTACACTAGTTATCATAAACTAATAACGAACTAAACTTCTACAGCATCTTTGTTAATGTTCATTTTAACATTTACTAATACATTATAAAAATCAAAAGTTGTATTTGTTAACCTCAGTTAATGCAGTGTGAGGTAACATGGACAAACAATGAACAGCGGGATTTTTTATTAACAGATACAGTAAGAAATGTATTGCTCATGGTTAGTTCATGTTAGTTATACAATAACTAATGTTAACAAAATTAAACCTTGTGGTAAAATGTTAACAAATTATTCAACATCAATAAAAGCTTTCAGTATGTCAGACAAAGGAATATTTCATTGATTCCTCTTTATCATAATTATCATTAATACTAATATTATTTTTAGTAATAGTAATAATTATCACGTTATAATATTAATATTATAATACATCCAGCATACTATTAATACGATGTTAGATGTTAGCACATTCAAAAATACATATCTAAATAAAAACACGAAAGAAATTGTGTTTAAATCGCCTTTTGTGAAAATGTTCATTATGAATTTGAAGTTTAGCCAATAACAACAAAATATTTATGTCATATTAATATAGGCTATACATCATGTGACTCTCCACAACACAACATAAAACAAAATGTTTTTAAAAAATGGGTCTAGAAAGCTTATTTTATTTTATTTTGATTTTTTTTTTTTCAATTTTTAAGCAATTTTATGGGAGATTTTTTTTTATTTTATTAAGTTATTAGATTTGATCAATAAATAATAAATGAATAGTAATTCAAGCACATTCCTCACATTCTTTCAACGTAAATTAAAAATATCTCACAAGTTCATGCATAAATCTTTTAATCCAGCTCAACATATTTTACATTGGGTGTCTTTGTCGACCTCTTGTGGAATTTCTTTAATATAACATGATATATCATGACTCTAGCCACTAGATGGCCTTATAGCTCTATATGGAGCAAATGAGCTGTTTCGCTGGGTCCTAAAGTCAGTTCCATTCTGTATGCATTCAAGTTTGTTTTTATTTATATAGCACATTTAAAAACAGCCAACATGGCTGACCAAAGTGCTGAACAAAACACAAGATAAAGAGACCAGGGCAAACTCATGATCGAAGCTCACAACGAATTAAAAGCTAAAGAAAAAACACTTCAGTTCTTAATGCGGGATAAAGTAAAAGGAGCAAAGTGAAAGTGATCCAGGTCAATGTTACTGCTCTTAAAGTTCTCATCGGGCCGAAGACTATAACCTCGGTTTTAGATTCATTCAGAAATAAGACATTTTGAGAAAATCACATTTTCACTTCATCTAGGCCCGCAAAAAGAGATTTCAGAGATGTTTGTTGCGTTTCAGAGGAAAGTAAATTTGGGTATCCCTGGATGCCCACAAAACATTCCAGTCGGGATAAGAGAATTGTACGATTAACTGTATGAAAAGCCGTGGTTAGGTCTAACAGTATTAGGATCACAGAGTCAGTCGCTAACAGCATAGCATATCGTTAAAAACTGTAATAAAACCGACTCGGTGCAGTGCTGAGGCACAAGTTTCAAAGTTTGGAAAGTTTCAAAAAATTGATTTGAGCAATGAGAAGACTGGAGTTGGATGAGAACAGTTTTCTCCAATGCTTTGGTAATAGGTCGCAAATTATTTAAATCCCTCCCTGTTTACCTTTTGGTAAAGTTTTAGTTTTAATTTTTTAGCATTTGTGGGTTTTTATATGTGTACTGAAGTATTCCTCGCATTTCATTCATTCCTATAAGGGGGTCATATTGACCTGAGAGGGAAGAATTTGTTACTTATAAAAAATTAAACCACAAAACTCCTCGAATCCATTCAATTTGTTGTTGTTGTTGTTGTTGTTGTTGTCGAGTCGAGTGTATGGTTTAAGTGCGAAGTCCAAGGGTCCAAGACCCCTCATATGAACAATCAATTTTTAACCCCTTTTTAGAAAATGATTTTGACCCCAGCGAAGGATATATTGTACACATTCAGGGGAACATTAAAGAGCATTTAGATGTAACAAACAAGAGGAAAAAAACATCAAAACTGACATAGTAATGGGCAGGTGAAAAGCAAACTAAACCTCATCTCAAAAAATATCATATTGTTTCAAGAATCTTCAACATTTTATTCCTAGTTTATTAGTGATGTTAGTAGTTTTAAGTGGCTCCCTGTGTGAGCGACGCCTGCGGCATGACGTAAGGAAGAGCACGGGGTGTTCCCGACGCGATCACGCGCGCACGCGCCGCGTCTCAGCTGACGGAAGTGCAGGGCGCTCGTGTTGTTGTGTTCGGGCTCGTGCCATGAACAGGGTTGCCGTGAGATGAGCGGTGCGATCGTGTCATGACCTCCGCGGGCATCATGGCAGCGCTCTCGGGCCAGAGCGACGACCCCGCCGAACCGGACCAGTCCCTGCAGCACATGCTGAAGGCCATCGCGGACGAGCGCAACCGCCTGAGCGTCAAACAGGACCTCAGCGGACTGGGTCAGTATCGATACATGCAGCCGTGAACACTCACAGCCTCTCTGTCCTTCATGAACACTGCAGACACGTCAGCAGAACTTGATTTTATCATGTTATTCAGGCGCGAGAACAGGCCGCGGTCATCAGCTTTTGTTTCAGCCGGTGGTCCTCTATATGACATCATTATTCACGAGGCGCGCCGCCGCGCTGTCGAGCCTGTGATGATGTCATAGTGCTGTTGTCTAGCTCCAAGTTGAATTCGACATCTATCAATCTATTTATCTATCTATGGTTGATGAAACCACAATATAACTACCTCATAGCGAACACCTGTTGAAAATGACATCACTCAGTAATGTGTGGTACTGTCTGTATACTAAATGTTTTTAATATTGCTTTGTGAAACTACATTTTGGCTGATGGATTTCATTGACTGACCCTTTGGCTTTTTCCGTCCTATTAACAACACAGCAAAAGGTTTTTGATGAACTTTGATGTTTTTTTGTCTGCAGGGAAGCTACTCTCAGTGTCTGTTGTCAGGGTCACTTTACACAGTTACTCAAGTCAGATGTAAATTCATCATCAGATCATATACATAACTTTAGTGACCCTCTCATATTCTGAATCATATCTATATTTTAGTTCACCTCACTCAACTTAGCCAAATTGCACTGAAGACATTTTAGACATTTTCCATTTTTGATTATGGTCTCTCCCTCTCCCTGTCGTCTTTCTTTGATGTTTTGTCCCTGTTAAATATTTCATTCTCCGTGCGACACACTGTCAATGTTTTGCGTTTTGCACGTTCTTCACTTCTGCTTCTGTGAACATCTTCCTCTGGTAACTGACACGTACACTCATAAGGTGTTATGTTTTTTGGCAACACTTTACTGTTCAATTTGTTAACATTAGCTAATGCTTTAAACTAAAAAACATTATTTTTTCCATTGTTATTTCATGTTTTGTTCATAAATAATACATTAATGTATTAGCAAATGCTGTAACCTACTCTATTAACTGAATTTCACCTTATTCTAAAGTGTTCAAAATTTCCACAATCCCGTTAGTTAAGCATATCTAGGTGGTGGATCATTTTCGGGATATGTTTCCATGGATTTTCTGTTCTTCACAGCATTACAAACTTTATCCAGATGTGTTACCAGAGAAAAATATCACACTCTTGCTGTTTACAGGGGAAATAGCAGAATATATAAGTAGATATTGCAACCTTATGCCGAGTTGACCTCAAATATAGCCGTTTAAAGGGATAGTTCACCCAAAAATGAAAATGATTTTAATAATGAATCTCCCTCATGTCGTTCCAAGCCCGTAAGACCTCCGTTCATCTTAAGAACACAGTTTAAGATATTTTAGTCCGAGAGCTTTCTGTCCCTCCATTGAAAATGTATGTACGAGACTGTCCTTGTCTAGAAAGGAAATAAAGACATCATCAAAGTAGTCCATGTGACATCAGTGAAGCATCGAAAATACATTTTGGTCCAAAGATAACAAAAATTACAACTTTATTCAGCTTTGTATTCTCTTCCGGTTCTGTTGTTCTCTTGTGGGCCTGTAACACACCAAGCCAGATTTTGTGCGTCGGCCAACTAAGTCTTCTCGGTGTGTTCCACACGGTTCCGTGCCGTTGGCTGAAAATGGTCCTCGTCGGCTTTGATTCAGCCGATTCGACATGTTGAAATCGGCGCCGGGCCGTCGGGGAAAGAGAGAACTCTGATTGGCTGTTCAGCTTAGTAAACGAATCAGTGCACGTGAATAAAAGCAAAACAGCGAGCAAAGAAGTCAAAACGGTAAAGATAGAAGGCTGTTCTTATGTTACGTCTTCTTACCCGAGTGTTCCTTGGCGAATATTTCAATATTAACACGTGGAATAAAGAAAGCATTAAAGATATTGTTTAGCAGGATTGAATGACAAATATAGACTAATATATCTGCAGAAATAGACAGTTGGCTCATTACACGCAGGCACATTCTCGGTGTGTTCAAGTGCAGCTTTTTACCCCGACGAGAGGCGACAACACGGTTGGCTTTCATCAGTGCTAGTCGTCGGCTTGGTGTGTTCCAGGCTTACAGTAAAGGATTAGTTCACTTTTGAAAAAACTTTTGCTGATAATTTACTCACCCCCATGTCATCCAAGATGTCCATTTCTTTCTTTCCTCAGTCGAAAAGAAATTTAGGTTTTTGATGAAAACATTCCAGGATTTTTCTCCATATAATGGACTTCAATGGGAACCAGACGGTTCAAGGTCCAAAAGACAGTTAATAACAGTTTCAGATGCAGCTTCAAATGTCTTTAAACGACACCAGACGATGAATCGGTTGAATGCGGACGATGAATGCGAAACGATCGGTTATTTCAAAGCTTATTCCAAAAATGTAACTTTTCTAAAGACAAATGCTAGCCTTGCTCTATTCTGTGAGGCGCGTTTGCAACGTCACGTATTACGTAATTACGTTCAAAAGGTCACGGGCGACGTAGCCGAAAGTACAGAGTCAGTGTTTACAAGTTGAACGCATAGGTTGAACGTGCAAACTAAATCAAACGCCGTTTACAAAAAAAGGAATTAAAAGGAAAAACAACGATGTCGGACGATTTTGATTCTGTACTTCCGGCTACGTCGCCCGTGACCTTTTGAACGAAATTACGTATTACGTGACGTTACAAACGCGCCTCAGAGAATATAGCAAGGCTAGCATTTGTCCTTAAAGTTAAATTTTTGGAATAAGTTTTGAAATAATCGATCGTTTCGCATGATAAGACCCTTGTTCATCGTCTGGTGTCGTTTAAAGACATTTGAAGCTGCATCTGAAACAGTTATTAACACTGTCTTTCGGACCTTGAACCATCCGGTTCCCATTGAAGTCCATTATATGGAGAAAAATCCTGGAATGAAAAACCTAAATTTCTTTTCGACTGAGGAAAGAAAGACATGGACATCTTGGATGACACGGGGGTGAGTAAATTATCAGCAAAAGTTTTTTCAAAAGTGAACTAACAAAGCTTCTGTGTTATACGTCACACGTAGGCTCACTATTGGCCGACGCTGGTCATGTGTGTGATGCGTGTGATTTACAACCTGGAAGCTTCGCGCAGTTTCACTACGTGAAATCTCGAGTCCCATAGAAAAGGAAATTAAGAGTTGAATAAAGTTGTTATTTTTGTTTGTTTTTTTGGGCACAAAAAGTATTATCGTCGCTTGATAAACTTAAGGCTGAGACATTGAAGTCACCTGGACTTAGCCTGACTTCGTCATACTCATATTCTAGTGAGAATATGAGTCTGAAACTGCTCCATAGGGCTTTGGTTACGAGGTGTGTCTCAACCGAACCAGGAAAAAAACAAACTCTGCACTCAATTGGATAGTCGGTAGACCTACAACCAATCAGAGCAACGCAGTAAGTGAACTACTTTGCATAGCGCAGTTTTCAACTAACTTACTTATTTTAGAAGTTAAATAACGAGTGTTGTTTCTTTTACTTGGTCCTCCATGAGTGCGACCAAAGGAGAAACCACAACGACCACAGGCTTTTCATTACGCCCCATCTTCTTAGCGACCGTCAGAGCCAGCTGATAAGTTACACTTTTGCTGAATCATGTAGGAAGGACGGCAAAGATATCTTTCCGATCGACAAATGCCTTGATTGCAGTTTTCTGTTCGACTATTAAAATGAATGCGCTGTCGATTTATTTTACAACAGACGCGACAGCGGAATCTATACATCTCAATTCTCCAGCTGCAGTCATCTCTGAGGGAAACCAGTTAAGCGCTCTTTGGTAACGTGATGATAACGTCTCTGAAGATCATCTGTCCATCGTCGTATAAAGCCCGCCCTGGTAATTTGATTGGCCCGGTCATTTTTTGACTGATCATAATTACTCCTCAATGGATCGAGTCCACACCGAACTTCCCGACCAAAAAATGTTGTGGGCGGAGTTCGGGCTGGCATCCAGGCTAATCTGGACTATTTTAACGATGTCTTTCATCCCTTAAGAAGCCTATGGAGGTGTGATCCAGCTCTCAGATTTCATCAAAAATATCTTAATTTGTGTTCCTAAATAAGTAATCCATACAACCCCAGTGGAGTTACATTAGGTCAGAGGTCGCCAGAAGCCAGTGATTGATTATAGCCTTGTTTATAAAGATTCGTACAAAGACCCATCTCTTCGCTACAGAGATCTTTTATTAACCCCCTGGAGTCGTGTGGATTATTTTTATGATGGATGGATGCGCTTTCTGGAGCTTCAAAAACTCTGCCATTACAAAGCTGGGAAGGCCTTCTTTGGCTGAAAGAAGAAGGTCTAGGAGGGTTTGAGGGCGAGTAATTCGTTTCATTTAAAATTTCATGTTTTGGGTGAACTATCCCTTTAACCAAGCAAGCTCCATTTGAAGAACAGATCTGGGCTGTCATTGAAACCTTTCAATGAAAAAAGCTTCCTGGATTCATGGAGGAATTTAGTGGAGGAAATGAGATGTTATGTGAACAGAATATTACAAAATATTTCCAATACCAGTGGGCAAAAGATCCAAAACGCTTTAAAATCAGACAGTATGACAAATTGTCAAAACATGAAATTATACTATATACTCTGACTAAAATCGTCTATAGAAGTTGCCAGTTGTGTCTAGCTGTAGAAGAATTGAAAAGTTTCAGGAGCTCCAGTGGAACTGAAGAGAAGAGTGAGTGAGAGTTGGTTAATCTGTTGCTGTTAATCTGCATCAGTGCAAACTAATTAGGATTTAGATTTGGCCTTTTCACATCATTAGTTTGTTCTGAAGGATGCGTTGATGTTGCAGATTTTAAACTTTAGCTTGTTGAGTGGTAGATCTTCATGCAGAACTGAACATCTTCCTCTTTCTCAACGAGGATATGAGAGTCCAGATCATACGATCATTTCTCTTTTTGGTGGCTTGAGATCCATGTTGGTAAATGTCATGTTAGGAGCCGCTACTATTAAACACTTTCCATTGGCAAGGCACTGATGGCCAGAGCTGGAACGGTTCCTGTTTGCACAACAACTCTCAGTCTGGGCAAAACTAAATGGCTCATTAACATCAATAAAGATGTCACCAATTATCGGCTCCTGACACTTTTTATATATCTATTTGACCTATATCGAAGTGTAATTGAATTGATTGCTAGTGATTTAATTTGTTATATGTTTAGAAGCACTTCAGAAGCAGCTCATGATGATATACACTGAATTAAATTACTTTTTAAATACGTTTTAGGGCTAGATTAATCGCATCCAAAATAAAAGTTAGTGTTTACATAATATGTGTATAATTATGCTGTATATATAAATACACACACGTGTATATATATAAAAAATATTTGCATATATATACTTTATATATATTTATGCAAAATTAATATTATACATAAATATACATATTTGATATATTAATAACACAATTTTCTTAAATATATACGTGCATATGTGTGTATTTATATATACAAAATAATTATACACACTACACCCACATATATTATGTAAACAACACTAACTTTTATTTTGGATGCGATTAATTGTTTCACAGCCCTACTACGTTTTCAGACTCATATGCAAAGTCTATATTCATTTTATCTTTGGATGCTGAAAGGCTTTTCACAGCAGAATCAATCTTGGGGCCATTTACACGTCACCGTTTTCATTCAACTTAAAATGGCAAACTTTTTGTGTTTTGGCCGGTCTGACGTAAAACCTGGACTTTTGAAAACGGGTTAATGTTTTTTAAAGCAATAACGTTAACGTTTCTGTGTAAACTACAAAAACGCAACTTTGAAAATGGTGATGTCGTGCGCATGCGTGGTAGTGTTTTTTGTGTGACATCGCCACCTACTGGCGTGGCATGAATAATACAGCATTTGTAGTCGTTTTTGCGGATCAGCGCGAGTCAATTTATATACGAACCTTTTTCGAGAACACAAAGAAAAACGTTTCTGTTTTTTGTACATTGCTGTTGTGTAAACATACCCTAGAATTGATAGCAAATGATTAATTTACCATTGGTTAATAATATTATCTGTGCAGTGGGAAAGTCATTTGGAGGTGGAACAACTTATACAAATTTTGGCATAAGATTATGTGTATTAAGCAAGTAAATAGGATCAATTTTGATTTCATATTGACTGCAATGTTGTCAAAACTGTTTGTCAAGTTTACAGTAGCATTCAATATAACATCAATAACACCTGACAACAATGGTCAGAAATTTTTTTAAAGCTGAAATCCATCTACAAAATTGTTGCTTTTTTTGTTGTTTTTTTTGCAGTCTGTATGTACTGGTATACTATATTTTGTATACTATATACACTATACTGTATATACTTGTTTACTATAATTGTATATGTGTGTACTAAAAACCTTTTCGGTTCATTTAAGTAGAAACGCTTGTATTTGATCCTTGTTTCTTGTGACAGATTCTTGTTTTGTTTTGTCTAGGGTGCTTCAAGGATGACCGTATAGTGTTCTGGACATGGATGTTCTCCACATACTTCATGGAGAAATGGGCGCCCCGTCAGGACGACATGCTCTTTTATGTGCGTCGCAAGCTCTCGTATGTCAGTACAGACGAAACCGAAGGGAAAAAGGTGAGATCAACCTATTGTCAATCAGTGAATTGATCCAAATATTTCATACCCAATTAAAACATTTCATACATGCCTTAGGTTTATTTTTTATGAGCACTGCAACAAACATGTGTGAGTAAATGATTCAAGAGTTAGTTTACCCCGAAAATGTAAATTGTCCCGTGATTTACTCACTTGGATGAATATATCCCTTGGATTGTTATTTTTAGGTAATCTCTCTTTCTCCATGTCCCGTCTCCTACTCTGTTACTTTATCACCTTCTCGCAAACAGGAAAGAATTACAGGGTAAATAAATCAATGAAGTCCCAAACATCTGTAGTAATTGCTGAGATAACTGAGAAAATGGTTTTATAATCAATCATCTGGACATTATTGAAGATGAATGAGATGGAGGACGTCTCAGATGTCATTTTTGATGCTGTTGGCGAAGCTGATTTATGAAACGTAAAACTGTAGTTGGCATTTAATAGTCCCTGATAAGGCTAAACATAGATTGTCCGAGATGTTTAATCTTGCCTACATTCATAATGACATACTATGCCGTTTTGAAATGTCCAGGCACTAACCAGGCAGAGAATGTGAAGTTGTGTTTGATTTGGTTTCAGGTGGAGGTGGAGGTTTACAGGAGAGACTCTAAAAAGCTGCCTGGACTCGGTGATCCCGACATCGATTGGGAGGAGAGCGTCTATCTCAATCTCATCCTGCAGAAAGTAAGCAAACTTCAACGATCAGACGCCATCAGGGTTTATCTGTGCATCGTCAACAACTCAAATAAACCCGATATCTCTGCGGCATTGATGTTTTCATAACGCTGGTTTGGTATGGTTTTGCCTATGAAGTCTTTTTGTCCCACAGCTGGATTACGTGGTCACATGTGCAGTTTGCACACGCTCAGATGCAGGAGACATCCACATCCACAAAAAGAAATCACAGGTAAGACAACATTTGTGCAGTTTGTGAATTGGGATATACAGAAAGGTAACGCAAAAAGTGCAAGAAAGTGTTTATTATAAAAAAAGAATCTAATACACTTCAATAGTCAGTTGTAAAAAAAATCAAAGCAACAGGGTTAGCTGTAAGACTGTAACCTGCTATCAATGATGCATGTTCCAGATGAAAACACAGACACAAAATAGACGTCTTCATGATGTATGTGTGCTGTGAGGAAAAACAAACTAAACAAAGTGATAACCGAGACATTTACCAGTCGGATTTACTTCCTTAAAGGGTGATGACATGTATGTCCTACTATAATGAATGTATTTAAAACGGCGTTTTAAACCGTTTCAATGAAAACATCTCTTTATTTTACAGCAAGTGTTTGCCTCTCCAAGCAAACACCCAATGGACAGCAAAGGGGAAGAATCCAAAATGAGCTACCCCAACATCTTCTTCATGATCGACAACTTTGAGGAGGTAACTCTCGAATGTGCTGCTGGAGCAAAGATGCTAGAACAAAACTGCTAGTGTACTGCAACATCATGAGGTTAATCAAAGGTGTGTGTCTACGGGATGAGGAAATGAACGTTAGCTTTCAGGCCATATCGCAGTGATCGCTCTCTTGAGGCGTGTACGAACAGACTGGACAGGTTTATGTGCTTTTGTTGATGTTGTTGACACCCTAGCACATTATTTTTTTTCCTGCAGTAGCTCAAACACAGCTGTTTTTATCAATCTAATCCAATGTTAGACAGTACATGTGTTGGCTGATGATCAGGTTTATTCAGAAAAGGCAACAACCGGTTTTAGCACTAAAACTTGTTTACCAAAGATTGTAATTTTCATTTCGGTTACGTCGTGACTCGTACTGCAAAATGTATAGAAGTGTATATAGCTTTCAGGTGAGGTTTTGAGTCGTAAATGCTCGAGGAGTGATTTGTACGAAAAAAGTAATATAAATTTTGCTTTGTACTCCAAACTATCATATCTGTTTGAACCACACTGACATACTTTAATACGAGATGTACATGTATAAAGAATGTAGATTTAAAGTGAGTCATTGAAATCATGGTTGTCCATTCATAAATTTTCAGATCGGACAGGTTGTCACAAAAATTTTATTCCATTTTTATTTTACTTGCTTAAATGCCATTAAAGTGTAATAAGTGTGTATTAACTGTTATAGTGTTATTGTAGGATTGTAGATGTATTATTTTTCAGTACTAAATTAGTCAGTATTAAATCAAATTTAGACACAAAAAAACCCAGGGTCAGCCAATCATTTCTTTCGTCCCGGTTGGAAATAATGAGCTGTGTTTATTGCAGCACTGAGAGGACTACAGACACTTGATTAGTATACTTATTATGTATTGGTATATATAGACCGTTTAAACACAAAAGAGAAAATTTCTACCTACATCACCTTTAAATAACAGCCTGAATAACTAGTCCTTCTGAAGTGTCATGATTGGCTGTGATTGGTGTGTGTGTGTTGTGGGCAGGTGTTCAACGATATGACTGTTGGGGAAGGTGAGATGGTGTGTGTGGAGCTGGTGGCCAGTGACAAAAGCAACACATTCCAGGGCGTCATCTTCCAGGGCTCCATCCGCTACGAGGCCCTCAAGAAGGTCTATGACAACCGGGTACGCTTCCACGTACGTTTTCATTATCTCGTAAACGCTTCATGCGTGTATTTTATGCTATGTCTTGCCTTGATAGGTAAGTGTGGCCGCTAAGATGGCCCAGCGGATGTCATTCGGCTTCTACAAGTACAACAACATGGAGTTTGTGCGTATGAAGGGTCCTCAGGGGAAAGGTCACGCTGAGATGGCCGTGAGTCGAGTGCCCACTGGAGACACCTCACCCTGTGGAACTGAAGAGGACCAAGACTCTCCCATCCACGAGAGGGTCGGTTCAACATCATGCTGCAATTTAAATTACTGCACAAATACTGAGTTCGCATTTGTTCTCTGCATTGAAAATACATGTGACTGCGCTTTGCGTTTTTAAAAGCGTTGAAACTGTTGTCCCACAATGTAGATTTTATATTGCCAAAAGTATTGGGACACCCCTCCAAATCACTGAATTCAATTGGGAACAACAGCAACTCCAAGACCTCCAAACTTCAGATTAGCTCAAGATCAGTGGCAGCTTCACAAAAAAGGCAGACGTCTCAAAACTTTTGGTGATATAGTGTAAAAAAAAAAAAAAAAAGGATGCCATGTGTATATATAGCTGGTAAATATTCACCATGCTTTTAAATTAAAGATAAAGTATGAAACCATATAATATTAATATGAAGATTATGCATAATATAGTACCGCAGTTAGTATAGTACAGAGATTCCCCCTTCTATGTAAAGCACTTTGAGTGCTGAATGAAATAAATTATCTAGTCCTCTTAAAAATAGCAAAATACACATGCATAACTGATGATGACATAGGTTTGTGTTTAACAAGTCTTTTAAAAAAGTGTTCCAACTTTGATTTTCATTGGGGCATACAACAAACAAACAAAACAATGAATAAAATGAACCAATCATGTAGTGAATAATGAATTCATGTGCATTTTTAAAAGTCCTGTTGTCCTTCTAGGTGACCTCATTCAGCACCCCCCCGACCCCAGAGAGAAACAGACCCTCCTTCTTCTCACCGTCACTCCGCCGGAAAGTGCCCCGCAACCGCAACGCTGAGATGAAGAAATCACACTCGGCGAACGACAGTGAGGAGTTTTTCAGAGAGGAGGATGATGAAGGTACACAAACACAATATAGATTGTTTCAAAGCAGCTTTACAGTAATAATAGGACATTACGGTAACAGAGATTGTTTTGGCTATACAGTTAGTTTTGATCGATTGATTCACTTCTGCTGCAAAGGGACACCGTTCCTCCCTGCGGGACGCGGAAACCTGTTATTTTCCTAGTTTTTGCATGATCTAAAATTGAATTTTAGTGTTTAACAGAATTTATTCATCTGAAAACTGTATATTATGTGTGTTTACAGTTAATTTAAATTCTAAAAATCTGTGGGAAAAAATGAGAACTTAATTTTTTTTTAAGAAATCTAAAAAATACACCACAAAAATGATAAATATTTAATATAGCCAGCCACACGCTGCGATTATCAGGGTCCAAGCACCAATAGCTCACGTAGACACAGCTGCCATGTGTCTCTAGACAAGGTGCGTTTGTCCTGCAAAGACCGTTCTAAACGAGACAAACTAAGAAGATGAGGAAATATTCAGCCGTTTAACCCCTTAACTGTCACCCCCCTTTTTGACAATGGGGGTTAAAATGCACTATTCAAACTTAAATGGTTGAATGCTTTGGAATATATACCCAAGTTTGGTCTTGTTTTAAAGGAAACGCTTCAAAAAATGAAAGTATTAAAAAGTTATGGAAGTTTAAATTTACAGTAAATTAAATATACTGTACTATATATTATTTATTTTATATAATTTATAAAATATTTTTTACTCTAAAATTTCTATAAAATCAAAGCCATACATCTTATCAAGTTATGTTCCAAATTTGAAGTTGATATCACAAAAATTGAAGTTCCCATGAGATTTTGTTTAGGCGTAGTACCAAAAATAGCCACCGGGTGCCATTGAATTCCATTGAATTTAGTTGTATACATTCTGCCTTCACAAATTAATACATTTCTGTCACAAAATTTGGATCCTTGAGACTCTGACCTTTCTGACAATATCAGTTTTGTCAAGATTAGAAAAGGTTTTGATCATAAATTATGAAATATAATGATGCCCAAAAGGGGAGGAGCCTGATAAAATAAGTACGGTTTCTATGGTAACGCAACGTTCAACTATAAAACCGTTTTCACACGTTGAATTCTGAGTTTATAAGCTTTCAAATGATACCTAATTTATGATAGCTACTAAAATATGTGATATAATAAAAAAAAGGCGATAAAAAATAATATTATATTTTAGAGGATAATAAATATAAATATTATCATTTTTAGAGGATAATATTGTACTATATTTTTTTTATTATTATTGAAAAAAACTAGATTGCATGTTTTATTATGAACTTTTAGCATAAAAACAGAAGTTTCAATGATTAAAAGTGGGTTCATCAACTTTTTGTGACAAAGGACAAAACTCCTGTTATGATGCAGATTTTTTGAGGTGCACTCTTGTCATAAATTCATCAATTACTCTTCCTACATAATTTTTAACACAAAACAGGGGTAGAATATCTATTTAGAAGTCTTAGACCTTTCCAACGATATATAATTTGTCATAATTAGATTAGGATTTAATAGAAATATAGTGAAGTAAAGTTAGGCGTACCGGGACGGTGACAGTTAAGGGGTTAAATTGTGAGAAAGAGGTAATTAAAAGTATTTTTAATCCGGTGGCTTCTTCCTATGGTAGACAACATTAATATGAATTTGCATATGATACAATATGATTGACAAATCAACAAACATGCCCACAAGCAACCAGAGTGATATTTAATGAATGTATTAACAAATTTCAACTTCATGAATCATAGAGTTGTGGAGTTACCGTGGGTTTGAAGTTGTAGCGCACCCTATGGGTGGAGTTGAACAAAACTTGGTGTGCAGCCTCAGAACGTCCTGTTGTCTAGGTGCATCAAGTTTTATTACGTTTGGACATTGCGTACAGATATATTGATCAATAAAACTGATGGACATCAATGGCTGTCGCCGAGAAAATTCATCAACATATCTTTGCAACATTTTCCTGGTGGAAATTAAACTTTTTTAGATTTTACACCAAGTATTTCAGAATATCCCACACGGTTCTGGAGTTAAAGTCACTGGTCTTAGTTGGGTGTAATTATGAACATCCCTCCAACTTTAGGGGCAGAAAATCCTACCAAACTAATAGGGTTTCAGGATTTTGTGCTTGGACCCCCTAATTACATGTAAAATTCATACAAAATTCAAATCTTTTGTCATTACAGGATTCTGTTTGAAAATGTTGGTATGTTGTGTAGGACTGTTAAAGCTCATGTTAGGTTAATGCCCTGCTTTTCAACTATTACAGTTTAATGTTTACACAAATAATCTCATGATTCCAGTCAGAATACCTTATTCTATCGACAGCCTTAGTTTTAAGCTGGAAGAAATAAAAAAATATGCATTATTTTTCTTTTTTTTTTTTTGGCAACGATTAGTTTGTCAGGCCAAGTGAAATGTAAGGTTGTTTCCTCTCTCCTCAGACCTGTGCAACACTACAAACCTGCGCTCCCGCTCTCTGTCAGGGACGGGCCGCTCGCTGGTGGGCTCTTGGCTCAAGCTGAACAGAAAAGAGGAGTATTTCCTGCTGTATTCTCATCTCACCTATGTGACTCTTCCTTTGCATCGTATCACCACAGGTACAGCACAAATGCCAAGCCGGTTTAGCTTCAAATACAGGAAGATTCAAATATCTAGTAAGAATACGGTCAGTAATGTCTTAGGGTTTTCACATTATCCACAAATTATTGCTGAGGCTGTTACATCACGGATATGGTCATTTTGGATTTGGGTTTGGATTTGGCTGTGCGATATTTATTTATCGTAGTTGTGACTTAAATGTTATTGAGTATGTGAGTAAAAACGTCTTGAGAGTTCACTGTGTGAAAATTGTTGTCAACAAATGTCATTAGTTGGTCTGCTAACATCACGGGGAGTGTTTAATGGTGATTGGTTGAAATTTCTTGGTTCTATTTTTATTTGATCAATTTATCCTTATAATTCCATTAATGTTAAATAAAAATTAAATAAATTCTAAATTTAAATCTTCACATCTGAACAACATTGTTAAAACATATGTTGGATATCTTTTTTTTTTATAACATAGCAATTATCATTAAAAACAATGCAAATATTGATATTAGTAAAACTCAATGTGTGGCTTTTGCACTTTTTAAAGTAGCACTTTTGAGCGGCGCGAGGCCGGTGGCGTGAGTGATAATGAACAACACCTGTGAGACGCATCTCTCACGTCCCTCGGCCTCGTCCTGCTCGCCACAACCCTGATTTAGGGTTTTATTTAGTTATAATAAACAAAAAATCGAATTGATTTTTTTTTTTATCCGATTAATCGGAAAAATAATCATCCGATTAATCGATTATCAAAAGAATCGTTAGTTGCAGCCCTAATTAGAATGAAGTTATAGTTAAGTTATTGGGGACAAAATATCCCTGTGTTTTTATATATATTTATAACTTAGGGGTTAAGTAATATGAATATGACTTAAGTAAGAGTGCCATTTCCCAAATATCAGTGCATTTTACCTTACAAGAGGTAAATATTGAGCGAGTTTTATATACAATATTTTTTGCTCTGCCAACGAACTTGGTTCCAAACAAAGCTGGAGCAGAACTATTGCGTGTCTGCAATGTTTCAAACTTGGAATGAATCTTTGTTTTTAAGCATATCATATTAATCGTATTCAATATCGAGTCATTTGCTTTGTTTCCAATTGAATCAACTGTTTTGAACGAATTGTTTGACTGAATAATTCAATGAATCACTCATTAAGTCAGGTTTTAGACAGGACTGAACCAGCCATGCCATGGTACCAGAACCAGAACAAAAACACACTCAGCTAAATATTGCTTTTAATCCCCAAAAATAGACATATATTTTTTCGTCAATACTGAACTAATTTCATAATTGATGGTATTGAACCGAAATGAATCAACACTGAAGTGATTTCACCTGAATAATGTTTACTATTATCTTTTTAGAGCTGCTTTACAGCAGAATTGTTTTCTGTTTGCATCATTGACTCGTTATTTTCATATCACTGTAAAGCTGCATTGAAAGAATCTGTATTGTATAAATAAAGGTGACTTGACTTTCCGTTAGTAGTTAGAAAACATTTGGCCAATAAAATGTCTCAATGTTGGACAAATTGATAGAGCCGGACCAATAAAGGATTTTGAAGGCCGATACCGATAGAAATGTTTGTTGGTTTTAAAATCCGATATTCCGATATATCGGCCGATATTTTTAGCATTTTTTTTTTTATTTCAAAAACGTGCAACAAAATCGTTGAGTAAAAGAAAAGCTAACTTTTATGCACAGGATGTGTGGCACGTTATACACAGGGATGGTGTAGAGTGCCCTCTGGAGGACAAACTATACAACTCCAACACTCATAACATGGTTGAAGCGTGTTTCGTCCGTTTTTATTTTATTTTTGAAATATTCATTTATCGGCCATTATAACTGCCGATACCGATAGTTTGGAAAATGCCTAATATCGGCCTGGCTCTACAAATTTATAATGTCGGACAAAAAAAAAGTGTGATTTTTCTGTTTTATTCAACTTAAATTCAAATATAGATTCTGTAATGAAATTGGTGCGCTTGTCCAATTGTAATAATTATTAACTATTGTAACTGTAATAATATTTATAATTATTATATAATTATTGGGAAATTAAAACAAGAGAAAAAAATACATTTTGAAACTAATTCGTCACAGTGATGGAAAGCCTAACAATTATATGTAGCGCAATTTCTACATACATGTTAAACACCAAAATGAAATGATAATTTGTTCGGTTGAGGCTCTCAAGCATATGCAAGAGTAGAACATCTGAATTAATGTAGTGATTAAATATTTATTTCTCAATTCTGAAAGTGCTAATAGGGCTTTTATTTTGAAGTATTGCACCGCAGGTGGGATACTAGTAAGAATGCAATTACGACGACTAACGCCGAGAACGTTTTAAGCTAAAATGGCTTGCCATACAAACTTATTTTCTGTACGTTAGCCTCGAACTTTAATTGCGATGGCTAATGGCTCTCTAATGTTTCCTTTCTAGATATTCTGGAGGTGAGACAAAAGCCCATTTTGATGACATAGCATTTCCAGACTCCTCAAAAAACAGTTCCCAAGTGCCTCCTCACATCAGGCCCCTGAGGAACCGCCGTCAGATAACCAAAAACTAGCAACAGTTCACAACAGTGACGGAGAAGAGGAAAAGGGAACAAACTCCATCAAGAAGTGCCTGCTCTTCAGCGAGACGCCCTCCAGAACGGATGCGAAAGGGAAGTGTGTGTGTTGGGAAACACAATAGACGAATGTCGTTCTTGTAAATACACTGCTGCTTAGATACTCAGTGAAACGCACCCTCCCTCGAGAGACACTCGTAGGTTTCACCATGTTGCTGATTTTGTGCGTAGTATATTTTCCAAAGGACGTTTCCTCGCAGCTCTAGGCCTTAATACATCACTAACCAGCTGATATATATAACACACGCCATCCTTTTGATAGCCCATCGCTAACGTCCAGCAGACCTTTACTCTCACGATTGTCGTTTCTTGACGTGTTCGAGGGGATTTGTGATATCCAAACACTAGTGAACGTGACGCATCTCCTGAGAGGACAGCACCTGAGCACAGTTCTTGGAAACATCTCCGTCCACAAAGACACTTTGTTCTTAAACGTGACACTGCTTTTTTTTTTTTTTTTCTTCTCCGCCGTGATTTCTTCGCGATTAGTGACGGTCAAACTCTTTTGCACTAAAGGGCTTTTGGAGTTGAACATGTTTAGCCAACCCAAAGTGTCAGTATTACTTTGTTTTGTACGTGTGTGTGTGTGTGTGTGTGTCAGCTGAATGTAATAACTGATCCGACAGCTTTAATATCCATTTGATATTTGATAGGGAGATTTGCCAGCTATCTATTTTAAGACCCCAGTCCCCTGTTTTATTTCTCTTTTTGCTGTATGTGCGAAGCTTCATTGGAAGGCTGTTTTTAAGGAAGTACCAGTTTGTTAAACGCTTTACATGCGCTTTTTGTATCAAGTGGTAATTCAGCAGTAAATGTGCATGTTGTCATATTTATGTTGGTAAACTCTATATATATATATATACACCTTTTCTGTACATCTTTATGAAAATACACATAAAAAAACTCTTTTTGATTTATTTTTTTGCTTAACCCTCAGGTGCTCTTCGGTCATTTCTGACCGAAAAAATGTATGTTTTGAAATTTTAAAAATCACAGCTTCATCGGAATGTTACGAAACTTGGTGACTTTTATGGCATTGGGTATGTGAACACAAAAAAAAATTAAGGTCATGATCTGAGCAGGCTAAGTGGTCGTAAAAAAAATAGTCACACTTGTGCTCTTCGGTCAAAAATGACCGACCATAGGAAATGAATGGGAAATTGACAAAAACCCAAAAACTTTGAGAATTTTTGTGTGTACAATCTACAAATCGGCCACGATGCAGAAAAAAAGTGCTCAGCATTGAAGGGGTGACACTGTAAAACATCAAGAGTGCAAAACAGACATACCCACCCCTACACACACACTTTTATACACAAAAACACCAATAAATTGTGATTAAAGAAATCTGTTTTGAATATTTAAAAATCACAGCTTCTTCAGAAAATTACGAAACTTGGTGACTTTTATGGCATTGGGTATGTGAACACACAAAAAAATTGAGGTCATGATTCGAGCAATTTAAGTGGTCGTAAAAAAATGAGTCACACTTTTACTCTTCTGTCAAAAATGACAACCCATAGGAAATGAATGGGAAATTTATACAAAAAAAATTTCTCTGAATTTTTGTATGTTCAATCTACAAATCGACCACAATTCTAAAAAAAAAAAAAGTACACCGCAAGAAAGGGGTGACACTCTACAACATCTAGAGTGCAATAGACACACCCACCAACACACACACACATACAAACACACTTTTATACACATACACACCAATAAATTTTGATTACAAAGAGTATGTTTTGAATTTTTAAAAATCACAGCTTCATCGCGATGTTACGAAACTTGGTGACTTTTATGGCATTATGTATGTGAACACACAAAAAAATTGAGGTCATGATCTGAGCATGCTAAGTGGTCTTAAAAAAATAGTCACACTTGTGGTCTTTGGTCAAAAATGACCCCATAGGAAATGAATGGGAAATTGTAAAAAAAAGAAAAAAAAAATGTGAATATTTGTTTTTTGTCATTTTTTTTTTATAAGAAATAGTTTTTGAGATTGTTTCAACTATATATACTAATCCACCAACAACAACAACAAAAATGTGTTCATAAACAGCTGGGGAATTCACATGCCTCTCAATAGAGAGCTGTACATGCCATCTAGTGGTTACACCATGATTCTACGCTTTTTCTCTATACTGTAACCAGATGGTGCTAATTTTCTTCAAAAAATATTTTTTTTCTGAAGGCCTAGACTCTATATTAAACTAAAATACTGCATTAATATTTTTTTGAAGAAAATAATATATATATAGAAAATAATATATATTTTTCCATGGCAAAAATAAACCATAAATATTGCATAAATATTAATAAATTCATTTAAATTGTCTCAAAATACTAAATAAAAAAGAATAAATATTATAGAACAAAAATAAATTGCATTGGTTTTACTGGGATGGAGAAAGTTTCATTTTTAGGTGTCCGGTAAGATAACAAGTGTGACTCCGAAACGAAGAGCACCTGAGGGTTAAAAGTGTTTTGTTGAATATCACACATATGTGAAGAGGTTAATAATATGTAGGGCAAATCAATTATTAGTTTACCTAATTTAAAATGTTTACCTTTCATGAATTAACACCTGAAAATGAAAATCTGTCATTTACTTGCCCTCATGTCTTTTACAACCTGTAAGACTTTCGTTCATCTTCACAACACAGATGAAGATGTTTTTGATGAAATCGGAGAGTTTCTGTCCCTTCATTGACCAATGTGTTACTACCACAATCATATTATATGATGATGAACAGACTTAATTTATGCTTACGGGTTTAGAATTTCATTCTAAGTGTCATTTAGGGATGGACGTTTAAATCTCTTGTTTCCAAACTTGCCTAGGCACCTCATTTCAGCCAATGAGGCTTTGTTACTTCATGCAAGACTGTGATGATGTATTTCTGTAGGCCAGCCCGGAAGTTGACATCACCCTGGTTTCCTTTGCATCTGGAAAATTGTAGAAAAAAGCTCTGTGACCAACAAAAATGGGTGATTTTTAACATTTACGTTCCAGTTCAAATGCAATCGGCAGCGGTGAAGAGCTATAAATGAACTAAATTACAACACAACAGTAAGTGTTGGGAAAGAAAACGCTTTGCCAAAACCATAGCACAAAACAAAAACGGAACTAGACCGTAACTAAAAATAAATGAATGGGAAAAAAAGAAAGAAAGAGGATATTACTTAAATTAAGATAAATTTAAACAATAATTAAGGTAAAAAGTTTGTAGGTCATTCAAATTGTACATGTGTTCTGAGTCCTTTGGGGTTTAGAGAAGATGAAATGAAAAAAAAAAATAGGTTTACATTTTGAAACCTTACAACGATTTATTATATATATATATATAAAGTTTTGGGATTCATGGTGCACTAGATAACTTACATAAGGCACTATCTCTTTAAAAGAATCATACTTGAAACCAGACCTCAGAGTAATACAGGAAATATTAACTTACTTTCAATTACTGCAACTTTTAGACGAGACTCATGTTTATTACAGTAATCTAAGGTTTAAAGTCCCTCTGTGGTGAAAGTTTTTAATGTTGTTTATGTGTATGTGGTGTTTTTAATGTGCGTTAACACACACGATGTGTAAATTCATAAGTCGACACCATTGCTGAGTATTTTCTCCTTGAACTGCAGTGAAGTGAACCAAAGACGAAAAATCACTGGTGTTGCTGTTGCTGATGTCACAAACTACCTTGTAACCAATCAGGTCAACGTGTGATCGTCAACCAGTGGATCTCTGAGCTGAGTGAGTGGAGGCGGGGCTCATTTGCATATATATTTATAGAACCACGTACGTATACTAAACTGGGTGTAAAGCTATTTTAAGGCATGAATTTTTACAAGAAAAAAGAAAACACTTAAATATATTATTTTGGTGATTAAAGATTAGTTAATCAGTTAATTAGTTATTACTTGATGTAATATTCCTATTTGGAAAGCCTTTGGGGCCAAATACACGCGAATTTTAACGCGTATTTTACGCGTATTTTACACGTGAAATACGCGTGACATAACCAACGCGTATACGCGTTGATTATGTCACACGTATTTCACGTGTTTGGCCCTAAAGCCTTTCCATATTCCTAAGTATTGATAGAGGGCCGGCTGAAGGCTCCGCTAAACTAGCCGTCTTCAGGCTTGCAGTCCAGACTGAAACACAAGGGGGCAGCACTTCAACTGGGGCTTGACCATACAACATAAATCTAAAGCTAAAGTGTGTGCTTAACTTTCAGAACATGTTGTTCATCCTCTGAATGCATAAAACCAAAGGTCAATAACACCAAACAACGCGCAAGATGTTTTATTAATTATTTAATAGGAGGTTGGTGATATTTGGGTCGAAATAGTTATGTCATTTTAAATCAGCTATGCTAAAATGAGTAACATGGAGAGTTAATAACACTGACAGCACACGTACATCACAGAGACGTCTATTTGATGTGTGTGTGTTTACATCTGGAATACGTATTTTTTAGTGTTTGCTCATCTGCAATAAGTCTATAGGACATTTCCTGTCAGGTGTCAAATAGACGTTTTTAGAAGATGTCTTTACACATTCAGAAACTACACACAACATTCCACAGTTGTAATAGAAATCTTTATTGAAAAATCTATTCCATTAACAGATAAGCTTATCTATTATAAATTCTACAAGTCAGTCGAAATTTAACACAATAAATACAATAAGATTTGATGAACTCGAGTAAAAGGTGGTCATGAGTATAAAAAGCTTTCTAAATCATGTTGGTGCAGGATGATGTTTTAGTTTACATAATGTGGCTGTTTTAGATTATGTTTGACATTCTCCGTTGTGTTTTAAAGCTGCAAATTTTCAATATCTTACAGCCAAAAAGCGCCCGCGCCCTCAGTTCACTTGGACGTGACTGTGATTACAAGAGGTAAAAACGATATAAATACTGCTCGTTTTCTCACACAAACCGCTCGTTTCGTGTCTTAGTCCATCAATGTGTACTTACATTTACGAGTCATTAAATCATGTTTAATTTGGACTTCTCTGTGCATGCTTTTTGAGGTGATGACCATTGACCTCCATTATATGACCGACAGACAACAACGGTTTGACCTAAAAATATCAAAATTGAAAATACTGTGGAAACAAAGAGGAGATGATGCCCTTGAGGTAAGCTAAAACGTATCAAAAATTAATTTCAAAGTCCCTTTAACCAGGTCCCAGACATACTTACATACATGACCCATCACCCAGGCTTTGAACCAGTGTGCCTTAATGTGTATTCTCTGAAGAACGCACTTAATGTTTACAGAGCTGATGATGGCGCCTTGAGACTCAAGAGGAATAGAACAGTAAGATTTGTGTAGTGTCAAAAAAGTCTTTATAATTCACTTTGTAATACAATAACTTTGTAAAGCAGTCATTACATTAGAACAGTATTTTTCATACAACACTATGTTTCAGTGAAAACACTATTTTAAAGGGTTAGTTCACCCAAAAATGAAAATTAAGTCATTAATTACTCACCCCCATGCTGTTCCAACCCTGTAAGACCTTCGTTCATCTTCGGAACACAAATAAAGATATTTTTGATTGAATCTGAGAGCTGGATCAGTCCTACATAGACTGCCTAAGGGATAACTCTTGACGGCCCATAAAGTCATTAAAGAAAAGGTTTAAATATTCCATGTGCCTACAGCGGCTCAATTATAAGTTTATCAAGCGGCGAGACTACTTTTTGTGCGAAAAAAACATAAATAACGACTTTATTCCACTATTTCATTACTTCCTTATGGGCGCATGCGCGAGAACTGAGACGAGGACGTTCTCATTCGTCTACTTCTTGTTACCGGCTGCTCACCGCTTAGGAGTTTTACCGCCCCCTACCGTATAAAATGATGATCCATATATATATGAGCGCTCCGGATTATAAGG